ATGGGTTCCAACCGCTTAAGTAACTTCACTTTTAATTATTTACTTTCTGCGTTCACCTGAAATATGTTAATATTTCTATTTGAACTTCTTGGCTCATGTGTATCTTAAAATAGGAAGTACTAGCACTAATTTATGGTGGACCCTCTGGTGACGAAGCGCATGAGATCGTCCAACTTAAGGAGTCTGATGGTGTTTGGAGTGTGAATGGTCCAAGAAGTTAGGTGGGGTGTTATTATGTCTACGAAGTATCTATCTACCATCCCAACTCCTTGAAGATAGAAAAATGTATTGCAAATAACCCATACGCCTGAGGGTATGTTGTCCCAATCGTTTCCTTCCTTGGGTCATTATGATTATGTAATGTATTTGCTCATACACTGCTTTATTTTCTTTGCAAAGCTCTCAGGTGATGGGAAGCGAACTTTTTTAGCCAATCTTGATTCTGATGCTTTAAAACCTCAGGAATAGGTCAATTTGGCAGATGAAAAGCCTGAGATAGCATATTTTTTTGACGTTAGTATCTATGAACTGCATGTAAGAGATTTTAGGTATGTCATTGATAAGTGATATTTTATGCATTTTAATGTCGGAATTACCTTACAATTATTATTAACTGGATGTTAAAAATGGCTAATTTATGTTAAGTTGATATTTAATTATATGAGGCCATTTATGAAGGAAAAAAAAGAGACAATTTGATCATTTTAGTTTTGGATCTCATCTTATGCAAACTTTTCAGGCCTAAAGGATAAAGATAATGGAAGAAGAAACTGCAGCCAAACAGCAGCTGCAGCCAAACAGCAGCCCCTGAAGAAGTTGTCCAGCAGCAAAAGGCCGAGGCAGCAGTCACGTTCTACTTCTCTGCCCGTTTGGCCTGCACGATCTCAAGGAAAAAAAACGTCCCCGTCCTGTGTCATTAGCCTCATTTTTTTTATAGAAAATTGTTTTTGCCTATATGTACAACATATGAGGAACATGCTTTTTAAGATTGCAAGTGTTAGATTTCTTTCTTGATTAATCAATTCTCAAGGTTGAAATGCATCAAAGCCACCGACGGACTTTTAGCATTTGTTCATTACCGAGTTTTGTCCATAAAGGGTGTGTAATTTTATAGGAACGGATAGAAGAAATGAAAGTTTATGTGAAAACTATTGATTCAAAGCATCCTGTGGAGATTGGTCTTGAAGGATTTTATGGGCTTCAACACCTAACAAGATTCAATATAATCCAAATACTTATGCTCAACAAGTGGGAACTGATTTCATCAGAAACTATCAAATTCTTGGTGTTGATTTTGCTTCTGTTCATATTTATGCTGACTCGTGGTAAGTCTACTAAAACTTGTAACTATCTACAACATGTGCATGCCAACAAATAAGCCAAACTTATTTTTAAAGCTTATTGAAAAAACCCCATTTGAACAGCCATACCATAAACTAGATTTTTATATTAGGACATCAATTTATTTGACATAGAGCTATTGACTTTTCAAGCCATTGTACTTGTCTTTTGTTACAAAGTCGTCACTGTTCTTGCAAAAGTGCAAAAAGAACGATGCACGACTTGCCGAACTGGCCCGAATCCGATGTTCCCTCGAACCCGAACTGCATATTACGGGTTGTGATATTGAAACCAGGTACCCGACTGCTTTAGCCATTTTATGATCCGAACCGATCCGACTTGCAAAATAAGCACACAAACTCATGATTCAAGGTTAGACTAATGTTTCAAAATTGTGATTCACCCGCGCTGCATCGCGCGGGTACACCACTAGTGTGTGTGTATATATATAAATGAGGTTTACTTTGCAAACCACGTTATTTGTACAAACCTAATTCAACTAATAATAATTTTTTATTTTGTTCATTTTTCTGTAATTATGATAAGTTGATTAATCAATTTTATTGTGGAGGGTGTTAATCATGGATATTATCATATTCATTATTTTAATTTTAGAGAAATACATGAAACAGTTTCATTAAAATTTCATTAAGTATTATATGAAACAAATTTTATAACCATATATGAAACAACTTAATTAAAAAAATATTATGTGAAACAGTTTCAAAAGATTAAACAATTTCATGAAAAAAATTTCATAAGACTAAACAATGAAATCAACGGATGATGATGGTTTGCACAAATTGAGTGGTTTGCATTTGATCGCTTATCTCTCTCTATATAATTAATGTAGTAGAACATTTTGGAAGCTAATATTAAGCGTAAATAATTAAATACCAATAACGTCTCGTTATGTTCTTTATAATTTGGTTATTAGACCCTAAAAAATTATTAGCAATCAATATTCCATCTTTGAAACTGTTACATAAATCATTCAATTATTTTACACTTAAAATCACATAACAATTACTGATTTTGAATGGATAAATTATATAAAAAAGTAACTTATTTTATTATAATTTTCATTCAAGTAACTCACTTTAAAAGCTATTATTTCAGATAATTGATTTACCTAATTACCAGCAAATGCTGACTAGGATCAAATTTTTATTGACATGGTATTATTTATTTATTTTTTAAATATTAACTAAGAAAATGAATTACACATCATTATTTAAAAAATAAAACTAAAACATATATTTTTTAATTTAGCCAAAAAAATTCATAATATTATCTTTTAAAATTTGTCAATTCTCGTAACATTTTTAGACTTATTTCTGACGACGTTTTTATCAACAAATAAATAAAACGAAACATTTTAAACGCTTATGACCATATTCATAAACTAATAAACAAAATGCGGACAATAGTTAAAACGTTTTTATAAAAATGCCCTAACACTACCATCTTCTATGAGCAAAAAAAGAGATGACACAATAATGAAGTTTTAAATGTCATAACACCGTTATCAATTATAAACAAAAATTCCTTGGTACATCGTTGTTGATCAATCAAAATAGAAGTCCCTGATACATCATTAATGCTCAGTCGAACTTACGCCCGACATGCTCCGTTTGGTCTTGATTCAACTTCAAACAAGAAAAAGAATCCATGTTAATTACCTAATGACTTTGAATAACAATTCAGGTAAATGCAATTCCAAACGTACAAGTTGTAAATACCTGCGTAATGCAACGGGACTTAAAATTCTAATAAATGTAAGGAAGAAGTTACCTGATATTTTCCATTTCGACATTATCTGTCCCTAAGTTTTACCAATTGTAATACCAAAAGCAATAATCAAGTCAAAATGCAACCACCAAACCAAACACTTTGCAAATGTACATTACAACAAAATATTATGCATTGCCAATTAGTAACTAAATACCAAAGCAAGAAATACTTTTTGAAGGGATCACTATCTGATTGTGTTCAAAATATATTTTTTATTAACCTGGATATTCAACCCGTTATGCGAGCCGACTAATCCCAAGAGGACCACCTGCTTTGTAGATGGCCCGGAGTCACCACATTTGAACCTCCGTGGCCAAAGAGGATATTTAAGAACAATGTGCAGTGCTTAATGAATGAGACAAACCAATATGTTTTGTCTTAAGATGGGGCAAAAATTGTGTCGATATGTTTTGCAGTCCTTAATACTTTGGGCCATGTCTTCACCATCCAACGTCCTATCTGTTGATTCATGATTTTAAGAACTTCTGCTGTGCAAGTTTCTGTAACAAAAACCGTCTTTTCTTCTTCAGGTAGCACATTAAAAGTAAACGTACATTTGTCTCCAAACGTTTACCCGATAAGATTCCACACTGTCACTTACCTTACTCGATAAGATTTTAGTCTATTAAAACAGATTTGTATGCAACAATTTACCTGGTACGCACTAACCAAGTAAGAGTGGTCACTGGTAAAACTCTCAGTCTTTGTCATTGCTCTTATAAGTAATGTTCTTGGTCCTTGTCATGTTCATCGGTAAGGCAATATTAGTGACAGATGTAGAAAAAACTATTGTAGGGAGTATGGTATAAGATAAAATAATAATTAAATTCAATTTCTTACATAAATGATAAAAAGTTACCTTTACAACTGTGTCCTACGACTCTTCATATTTTGGAATTGGCTAATTACATCATCATTTGAAACTGTGAGAAGTGCTTTTTCTATAGTACATATCATTGCAGCATTCAAAAATTCATCACCGATTTTGTTGTGCAAATTTTATTTTACAATCTTCATAGCAAAAAAACATCTTTCGAATGTTGCGGTAGCAACTGACAAAACCAAAGCTAACTTCAATAACCGATATACTAGAGGATAAGTTGTATGTTGTTTTGTTTCCACTAGCAATCTAGCGAGCTTGACAATACCACTCAAATCGTAAATGTTTCATATTGACGCACAATCAAATAGTACATGTTAAATTATTTCTCAAGAACGATCCTTTCCATATGACTAAAATCATGAGGATACACCTCACTCAACTTTAATAAATCTGATACATTGAACTACGAAAATGAATCACATGAACTCAAAGTTGCTATATTTTAAAGCAATTTAGTGCTTACCTCACTAAATCGATCTCCAAACTCTTGAATTTGCATGTCTACAACACTGTTGAAAAAATCAAACTTGTAATAATGACAATTGGTGAGGTTGGTCCTTTTCTTCCGTTTTTTGAATAACGGTCTCCCATATCCAGATTTAATACCATTTTCTTCACAAAAAGAATACATTTTCTTTAAAAATAGATCAAAACTAGTTTCTCTAAATTGTTGCAATAGTTGTTTGGTTCCTCTTATCAATGAAACCGCTTCCAAAATATCTTGATCCTTTTTTTAAAAAGCCCGTGACAACAAGTCTGTGACCTCTAAAATATGAAACATTAAATGCAAATAAATCACGAAATCAAATGTCTTCAAATATGCTAAAATACCAGTTGCTTGAGTATGACTAAAACCATTATCGCCATCCTCTTCAACATAGTGGAGCACTTCAACAACATTCGGAAACAAAGCAATCAAGCTCAAAATGGTTTTGTAATGAGAACCCCACCGTGTATCTCTGGCTCGAATAAGAGAAAGCTCTTAGTACTTCCTTATTCCAGTTTCAATTTCACACTTATCAATTGCTTCTTGCACTCTATCTTTGTAACTTTGTCGAAACATGTCTTTATGCTTGCTAGAAGCATTCACTACATTGATCACCATTCCTAACATATTAAAAAATTTCTCAACTCCGTCATGTTTATTTGCAACCGCCACAACAATTAATTGAAGTTGGTGAGCAAAACAATGGATATAATATGTCGACCTATTGTCATTCAAGATCAAGGCCATTAATCCATTGAACTTACAACGGATATTGCTTGCTTCGTCATAACCTTGCCCTCTTACCTGTTTCAAACTCAATCCATGTTTAACAAATAAAGTATCAATGGCCGATTAAAGAATTGAAGAAGATGTCCCCATCACATGAACAATACCAAAAATTCTCTCCTTAACAATACTACGTGCATCAGCATACCGTAAAACCATTGCCATTTGTTCCTTATTAGAAACGTCACTAGACTCGTCAACTAGCAATGAGAACACATCATCACAAATTTCTTTATGAATGGATTTGAGTATTTGATTTGCAAAAAAAAGTAGCAATATCTTTTTGAATACTTGGAGACACCATTTGATTATTCTTTGGAGCATTTTTTTAATATAACTTTACCTACATCCTCATTGCAATCACCAATTAAGGAAAATGTTTCTAAGAACATGCCTTTATAAATAGGCATTTCAGATTCATCGTGACCATGAAAGGGAAATGTATTCTTCAACAATAATCTGCGTGCCTTAATTGAAGCATTTAATCGTATTCGGTGCTCATTCTTCTCCTTCTCAATTTGCTTATGAAAGGAAACGACAATAGATCGATCTTGGATCATTAGATCCTCACTTTTCTTAAGTTCTCTATTGTGAAAACTATTAATGTTGCCGACATGAAGACCAAGTCTTTTCGTTTTATTTAAACTATTAAAGCCATATGTTACAATAGGATCACTCCCACATTGTCTTACGTAAGGATCTCTAACCAAATAACAACACAAAAAAAACCTTTATCCGTTCTTACATTATACTCCAACCAGTTAGCGTATTGATCAAACCAAGCCGAACAAAAATGTCTTCCTTTACTCCTGACAATTGTTTTGGAAAGACATGACCTCGTGGTTGACAAGGTCCTCTAGTCAAGTATTTTCTCCTTATTTCATCCCTTTGATAGGATGATATTCCGAAATCTTTTTCCTATCGGCTGGATCCCAAGGAAAATCGTTCATATCAATTTCGTAAGACATTGAAGAAGCAGAGCTCGATTCAGGTGTTGATGCTTTCCTTTTAAAAGATCTTTTCATTTTTCTAGCAATAGCAATAACAAGATAAAAAATCAATGGTTTATCAATAGTAAACATATAACTTTGAACTTTGAACAAAATTGCAAAATTAACCTAACATTTCCATTCACCGAATCACCAATTATGAAGCATACAAAATCAAAGTCATTAAAAAATAAAGATTGGAAATCAAAAGTTTAGGTTTTTACCCAAGTTGGAGTAGTTGCAGACTTGCATTGCAGACACGAGAGGGACGCTGGACGCCATTGGGTCGGTCTCGAATGAAGGTGAAGCAGGAAGCAAGTGGTGAATAAAGGTGCGGCCGTGGAGCTTCGGTCTCGAATCGGTTCAGCACTTCAGTGGCAGCCTTGATTCTTGAGCCTTCGACAATCATAGTTGGACTTGTGGAAATGGTGGAATGAGCGATGAAGGGAAGGCATGAAGCACATAAGGTGAAGGTGAATTATGGGCTGGGCTGGGGCCTTCATGTTTATTTTATTAGGGGCCTGATCACAAAGTCATAAAATTTATAAGTAAAATAATTTTTTTTGGGCTTTCTAGACGTCATTTTGTTGGGGGCCCAGGACCCCAACTCTAAACATGTGCATTCGCCACTGGGTATTGGTAATATGACTTGGTAATTAAGCGCTTACCAATTGGTAAACAGCCCGTAACTCTGCATACTATGATGATTGATTTACAATAAAATTATAAAAATATGATGGTTAGAAAACAAATTCACTAGAGGGTAGCATTCAAATCGCTAAAACTTCAAACCTTTATTGGACGATTAAATTCAACAATCATCTCTTTGAATTGTATTCTAAGCACAAACCATATAATTTTACAAACTCAAAGGTTTGTCTTGTTATTCTAATAAATCATAATTGCAATTTGTCGTTATCTCTTTTTGGATATAATATAATGAGACTAAGCTTCCCATATTTCTCAAACCAGATAATTCTCTTTAGAGGATACACTTTAATCAAGGCTGATCTCCCATTGGAAATGAAGCCGCATCAATCTTTGAAAATTTAGTCCGAGAAATATTGCTACACTTTTCCAACACAAAATATCCATCGCCATGCTGATTTTACCGGGGTGATAAAGAAATTCTCGTACTTAAATCTTGAGTTCCACTCATTGCTCTTTTTGCACGAAATGTAGTCTCATCTACTTGAAATTTTCTCACTTATATTCTACTCCAAATGTAATCAATCTATTTCATCAAGTTGAACCTTTTAAAGAATCCATATACAATATCCTCATAAATATTGACAATAGATTTTGCCAACATCAATTATTTTTCTAAGTACCTCTTACTAATGCAATCGTCAAGATGATCTTTATCTCAATACATGACCGATTAGATCTTTCATAAAATGGACGACCCACAGTGATCTCCCACCATACAATCCCGCATGTCTTTAACCCCACGAAGTTAACATCCAACCCACATATTTACTCTCATAAACACATTCATTTCCATGTTGATTTACGAGACAAAAAGGGTTTTTAGACGTTCTGTTTCACTAACATTGTTGAGATTTCCTATTGGGACAGTCAAGTAATATAATATTTGATGCAAAAAAGAAAAAAAAAACTATACACGTATGAAGATCCTCAAGTAAAATAATTTATGTCAAAAGAAACTATTCTCGTACCCCTAAGGTACCATCTCTCCTTATTTGCACTTCAACCCAAGTAGTCATTATTCATACCTCACACGAGGTCAACCACCCTAAACTTCGCAATTATCCAACTTCAGTAATGCACACAAGATATAAAATTAGATAACTGAAACTCCCATTTGTCAAGACAAACCTAGCTAGGTCATTCTTACTAGCAATTTTAATCTCGAGTCTATTTTATCCATTGGTTTATGCTTATGTCTTCCATAATATTAGTTTTTCTAGAAGATCTGGCAATATTATGAGGGTAATTCCCAATCACAATATTTTTTTTATTCGCTCATCGGGTGCATTTCAAGCAAAATACATGGTTTAAATCAAGCCACCCTTCTAACATTGAACATAGACTATGGTGTTAAATATAGTAGATTTCTTATCCAATCTTGTCATTTATATGATTTTTGGTGTTATATTTCAGGTTTTTCATTTAAAGAAGTTGATTATGTAAAGTTGCTATTCAAGGAGGGTTATTTGGAGCTGTCAAGTTTCTAGAAGGGCAGCAGACCTGTTATGACTATTCTTGAAGGGCTAAATGTGAAACTTCTTGACACACACACACACACACACACACACACACACACACACATATATATATATATATATATATATATCTTTTAGCTTGAACGTCTCTTAGATCAGTTTACATTTTTCCAGAAATTTGTTCATCTTCTTTGAGAGAGTTTTAGGGTTTCTTTTCTTCTTTTCAGTTTTGTATTGTAAGATTGAGTGTTTGAACATGGTATCAGAGCTTTCTTTCACTCTAATTGTTTAGAACGTGACCATCCTAGTGGTTGTTTATATTCTTCATCATCTGTTAAGGCATCTTGTCACAGTTCCTCATCTTCACTCGTGTTGTTGAGGCGAGGTGTTTCTCTATCAGCTATCGTTCTTCAGATATGATTTTTCGTGGCAAGTTTCTTCGTTGTTTTATATTTAAGCAATAGGTTTTCTTCAGATCTCTTCTTTGGTTTAGATCTGGTATTCTTGTTGTTCTTTCTTTCTGGCGCAATCCACTCTCTTTCCGACGAACTCCACTCTCTTTTCGACACTTCTTTGGCTCTCCTCCTATAGAGATGATGATTCAGTCCCCAAGGCAACGATTCAGGTTTATAAACAATCGCTCCTCTCCTCCTCCCGCTCATCTTCCACTCAATTCAGGTGATATTGATACACACTAAGTATTTAGGGCTTAAAGCACATTTTTATTCTCTTTTAGATAGGTTATTTTCTATTTATATCCCAACTTTGAGTTATTTTATCTCTTTTCTCTATTTTACTGCTAAAATGAATGATAAACCTGTTTTTGTTGGATTTTGGTCTAATTTGAACTTATTTTGGAAAGGTTGAAGCTGTTTGATGCTGTGGGAATGTGGCAGCATGACCTGATGGTGGAGAAATAGATGGAAACGACTTGGAGTTGACTGACAAGACTAGAAGCTGACTTTTGAAAGACTTCTTATTTGTAGGACAACTGTTTGTTTTGAGATTAGCTGGAACTTGTTAAGCTAATTTAGTTACTTTATAACTATTAGTTTTACTTTATTGTACTTTTGGTTAACTTAGAACTAATTTTGTGTGAATTGTCTAAAATGCCCTAATCTCATCTCTAGTATAAATAGAGATGTTGGGTTTAGTCTTAGGGACACATTTCATTATTCCTTTACTTTTTCTCTCAAGTAGTAGTCTTACTACTTGAAGAACTTTCTCTCTCTAAAATACTAGTAAACTTTTGAATAATCTCAAGCTTTCTTTTAATCGCTTTCTTTATTTACTTGCTCTTTAAATTCCGTCATTTATTTATTATGCTTAATTGCTCTTTAATTTACGTCATTTATTTATTACGCTTTTTGCATCTTATATTTTGTCATTTATATTCCGTTATTTATCTTTATGCCTTTATTTATCGTAATTTATATTTCCTGTCATTTACTTTTTGTCATGAGTAGCTAATTTTGTTAGCTTAGGTGTATGACAAAAAGGGTGAGTTTGTAAATCAAATATAGTTGACTCTTTCATGTAACAACAATGTTTTACTATTTCATTTCAAGTTTTATAAAACTAATGACACTTCTTGACGAGTTGATCACTGAAAAAAGTGTCGTGGACTCTAAGCTGAGCCATTGATTGCACGTCAATTTGGATGATATGGGAAGTAGACTTGAGAGAGTTGCTAACAAAGAGATTTGTTATCCGTATTTTCTAAATTGTTAATTCTCGACAGGTTGATTACTTTGAAGTGTTAAAGTGGAATGGACTCAGAGATGAGCCATTCAGAACACGTCAACTTGAATGATATGGGAATCCACTCGAGAGAGTGATTTTTGACAAAATATACACCTCTGGATGACCGAAGATGCCTCAACTGGATAAATTCACTTATTTCACACAAGGGACAAGCAAAAAACATGGTCAATCCAGAGATTTGTTTATCCTTATATTTTGAAGACACCATTTGTCACTTTCACTGGTCTGGATACCTCATAGAGATATGGGTTGAAAGTTATAATATCAGTGCATTGGTGAAGTCCGAGAGGAATACCTTCAAAGTAATTGATAAAAATAGTTGTTATTGATTGAATGCTATAGCAATTTGTCTGCATGGTCTCATGCTGTAGCATTTTGACAGCATTGGTCTACTGGAATTAGTATTTACATCTCACCCGAAGAGTCATACACCCTAGCTTGCTTTTATTATTTGTTATCTCCTGTTAATTTGTAGTTGTGTTAACTCAGTTCGAATCAAAGTCTTTGAATTCACCTTCTGAAATCATTTCCTTAACTTTACTTTCTTATAAACTTTTACTACAATCCCTGTGAACGATATCTGGTACTTGTACCACTTTTATTACTTGAAAGACGATATTGGGACTAATTGTATACTTGCTTTTGGTCCTAATTGTAGTCTGTGGATTGTCAATACGCCACCGGTCAGATACATATGATTGTTCCACACTCAAAGGTGTTTCCCATGTTCTTCCCATCGATTTCCATTGATTGCTTTCCAGGTAATTGTATTGCCCTGTTTCATTTTGTGTTACATACAAATTAATGTAGTTGTTATTCTCCTGGAGTGATTGATTTTCATCGATTGTTATTCATCCACAGGCGACGGTTCCTTTTTCCCAAGATGACGATTCATGCGCCCGATGCAGGTTTTATCTGTGTTATCGCTCCTTCTATCCTCTCATATGATTCATCTCGCTATTTAGGGTTTTTTGTTCCATCCTTCCATGAAAGTTGTCTATCCCCTTTGGTTTGATCCTTTCTGTTTGATTTCAGGTAGATCATCGATTTTTATGGTACTTTCTGTTCAATCCTTTATGTTCGATTTCAGGTATCATTTCTATTCGATTTAGGGTTTTTTTGTTCCGTCATTTTACTGTCCAATTTATTTGATTTAAGGCTGTTATTGTGCTTTAGATTTTCTGTTCATGATATGTGCTTTAAATTTTACGTTCATGAAATTATAAGCTGATTATGCTTTTGACATCTGCATTACAAATTCCTTATTTACTTTTTTGAACTTGCACTGTTGACATGGTATTGTCTGGCAATATTGCTTCAACAACCTTCATTAAGCAATCATTGATTTCTTGTAGTTGATGCTGATTCTGCACCAATGCAACCTGAATCCTTGCAAGCAGTTCTTCAAGGTGTGAACAAAGGTATTTGATTCAAAGTTATATATTGGCTTCTTTTAAGT